CTTAGAGACTTTACTATCCTACTGTGAATTAGAAATCTCCAGGAGACAGATAGAGTAGGAAACTCTCTTTAAATCTATTTGATCACTGAACCCTTTTCTCCCCCTTGGGGACATCTGTCATCAACTCAAGGAACTAGTGTTCTAGGGAGCAGTTTGAGAAACACAGGAGTACAAATACATACATATGCTTGAAGCAACAAGGTTTTCAACCTGCCCACCTTTTGGGGGGGCCCCCTCTGCTACGTCGGGAGAACAACTTTGATCGGCAGTTGTGTGCCTTTAAGTTTCTGTCTGCCGTGGCTTAGGACCCAGGGGCCACTCAGGCACTGCAGCTGGTGGTTGTGTTAGAGAAGTGAAAAACTAGCAAATAAAGAGGCCCTTCCTAGAGGGCAGAGACTAGGGGGGGAGGGGGGGGAGAGTGCAGTTGTGTTCAGAGAGGAAGAGAGGGGAAGTGGTTTGGCCTCCAGGAAGTCAATTTCCTCCAGTCAAAGGACATGGGGACAGAGTGAGAGGAAAGAACAAACCCTCACTTAGCCCCCAGTGTGTGTCTCCCGCCTCCACCATGCTTCCGTCAAAAACTGCTTCATCTTAAAGAAGCCATGACCACACACATACTGAAAATGAGACACATGTAGAGACTGCCAACTCCACTTGGCCAGGAATTACTTCTCCTGGTTGAATTCTGCTCTCCCTGGCTTCCCCTGACTCCTGCCTACAGATGTAGATGCATGTCTAAACTTGAACTCATGAGTAGGAAGTGAAGATCTCCCAGCATGCAGGGAAAATACTTCCCCTTCAGCTAAGCCCAGAGCTAAAGCCAAACCAGTTCTGCGGGTATTTGGCAGGTGATGGTCCCCAAACAGGAAGTGTGTGATGGATGTGGGCCCTCACTAGGCTTCTCTGAGCCAGAGACCTGCCCCTAAAGTATCCTGGGAAAAGTATCCAATTTCTTGTCTGAAATATACATAAGCTCTGAAGTGTCAAAGCTTAGATTTATAAAAGTCTTAGACATTTTAGGAAGTGTGAACCTCTAGGCACATTAACCTTTGGATTTTCCACTTCAATTATGCTAAGACAGTGATGATATGTCTACCGCCTTTGTTGTCCTAAAGGAAAAGCAAAATCAGATTTATTTGTTTATGATGGAAAGTAGACAAATGTAAAAGAAAATGGAATCCCATTTGCAAAAACAGGAACCCCGCCTCCCAATAAATAACGTAGTAAGTGCAAATACCAGAGGCCCCTGCTGTGTCATATTCACATTTCTGGGAAGATTGTGCTGGATGCTTCCTCTTATGTGCAGTGAGTCTCCTGTCAGAAAAATGAAAGTGTGAGTCAGAAACCTCATCTGCAACTTGGAAGAGCCAGCTGGGGGCAGGGAGTGGCTCTGTGCATGCTCTTGCTGATGGCCAGCACCCCCAACACAAAAAGGGAGTGCTGTCTCTGACTCCTTAGGTCTCCCTTTATTTCTAGCACGCATGCTCTTGCTGATGGCCAGCACCCCCAACACAAAAGGGGAGTGCGGTCAGGCTTGGCTCCTATCTCTGGCTCCTGTCTCTGACTCCTTAGGTCTCTCTTTATTTCTATCATCCCCAGGGCCATGGCACAAGGAAATGAGCCCTACCTACCCACACAACTAACACACACATGTGCTTTTGCTCTTCCACATGCAAGTTAAGGAGTGTTGACGTACTTCCATGGTTCTAGCATTATCACATTATTTTTAAATTTGATTTTATTTGTTTAACCTGGTTCAAAATTCACAATGATATTAAAAATATATATTTAGAAGTCTTGTTGCCACCACTGACCCTCTTCTACCGTACCCTATGTAACCACACTTTTAATTAGTTTTTAATATATTCTTTCAGGGTTTTTTTATGCATATACTAATTCATTCCTTCATTCAATACCTATTTACTGAGCTCATACTGTTGTAGAAGACCGAAGAAACCCAAGCGACGCTTAGAGAAATGGAGTTACATAGCTTTATTATGCTGGCGGTCTCAGAGGAGTTGCCTCTAGAATCTGAGCAAACCAATATGGGGGAAGCCCTTCTTTTATCCCCTTTTGGTTTCTTTGTACCCCAAATATGGATGGGGACGTCTGGACCTTTTGTGGGCTTTGCAAAAGGCCCCGTGGGTTGGGATGGGGGTCTTGAGGTCATATTTAAGGGCCTGGCCTGGCACCAGCGCTGATAACTCCCTCCGGGGGTTGTATGTTGTTCATGGTTTATGGCCTCTGTAAAATGTGAGCATTTAGGTAACAGGTCTTGCAAGACCAGATTGTGGAGGAAAAGGGCAGTGACTTAATTATAGGTTACCAAGAATGTACATTAGGTTACTGTACAGATTCAGATTGCTAGCCTCCCAAACATCAGGGTTACGTAGCCTTTTAGCCTTCTCAATGCTATGTTCTAGGCCTCTATATTTTAGGCACTGTTTTGGGGGTGCATCCTTACTTGGCAAGAAATCCTTACCCTAATGGAGTTTATCATCTAGAAGGGGGTAGACAGACAATAAGCAATGAACTTAAGAAATAAGAAGATAATGGAGTAAGAAGGATGGGACTGTGGAGGTTTGAAGGGGCACATGGCAATTTTAACTAGGGTGGTCAGAATAGACTTCACTTAGAAAGTGCATTTTGATCAAAGTTTGAAGAAAGTGACGGAGTTAGCTAGATGGGTATCTGGAGGAAGAGCATTCAGACCGAACAACAGTCCATATGAAGCCCCTAAGCCAGTGGTTCTCAACCTTCTGGCCCTTTAAATACAGTTCCTCATGTTGTGACCCAACCATAAAATTATTTTCGTTGCTACTTCATAACTGTAATGTTGCTACTGTTATGAATCGTAATGTAAATATCTGGTATGCAGGATGGTCTTAGACGACCCCTGTGAAAGGGTTGTTCGACTGCCAAAAGAGTCACGACCCACAGGTTGAGAACCGCTGCCCTAAGCAGAGCATGCCTATCACATTTATGGAACAACAAAGACCCAAGTGTGAGTGGAATGGAAAGATTGAGGGGGAATGGTAGGAGATGAAGTCAGAGAGGAAGAGTGAAAGGAGAACATATCATGCAGGGCCTTGTAAGGACTTCAGTGTTTACTCTGAATGTAATGGGGAGCTGGCCCAAGGCTCTGAGTGACATGATCTGACTTAGATTTTAATAGAATCTCTTTGGCTCCTGTTTTGAGAAGGGGCAGTGAAAGAAGAAAGGATGGAATAAGGGAGAGGCTGGTTGGGAGGCTATTGCAATAATCCAAGCAAGGTGGCTCAAACAAGATTGGAGCAGTGGAAGTATTATGTGGTCAGATTCTGGGTATGTTTTTTAAGTAGTCATTAATGGGTTGAGTATTGAGTATGGGGGAAAGAGAAGAATCCATGATAACTCCAAGATTTTTGACCTGAGCTATTGGGAAAATAGAATTGCCATCAACTGAGATGGCAAGTTGGGGAGGAGAGATCAGGAATTTAATTAATCACAAGAGAAGTGTGAAATGCCTTTTAGACATCCAAGGAGAGTTGCCCAGTGGGTATGAGATCTAAATTTGAGGGTTGTCAGCATATGGATGTTATTTAGCCATGAGACTAGATGGGATATCCAAGGGAGTGAGTGTAGATAGGAAAAGAGGTTGACTCAGGGATGAGTCCTAAGACACTCTAACGTCAAGGGCTGGGAGTGGAGAGGGAAAAAGGAGAATCAATGAAAGAGATCTAGAAGGAACAAACAGTGAGTCAGAGGAAAAGTAGGACAGAGTGGTGGTGTCCCAACGTCTAGTGATGGAAGTTTCTCAAGCACAAGGAAGTGAAAAATTGTGTGAAATGTTGCTGGTAGTCAAGTAAAACCACTGGCTTTAGCCATGTTGTGATCATGTTGGCGCTTATGACAAAAGCAGTTTTATTGGAGTGGTGCAGGTATAAGCTGGGTGAGTGACTTTAGGAAGGATTTTGAGATAAGTCACACACAGTAAGGGTTGACATCTCTTTCTGAGAGTTTTGCTAAAAAGGGAGCAAAGAGATGAGATGAGATAATGGCTGACAGGAGAAGTAGGGTCTAGAGAAGGATTTTTATGAGGTGGGAAAAATAATGTGTGCTATTTTGAGCGGTCCAGGAAAGAGGGAAGAAGTGATGCTATTGGAGAATGGCAAATTTTTGGAGCAATGACGTTGAATAGGCTTGAGGAGATATTCTTCTACTTTATTATATTTATCATATCGTTCTCATAGAAGATAGCATTTTATATCCACTGTCCTGCAAGTTGAATATTTCACTTAACAACCGATGCTTCTTTTCATATCAGTACATGGAGAAGGTCCTTTCTTCCTTACAGCTTCATACTATTCCACTTGAAGGATATTCTACAGTTTAGGTTTTGTTTCCAAGCTTTTGCTGTCCTAAATGACGCTATTGTGAGTAACTGTGTATATGCCTCATCTCATAAGTGTCAGCCCTATTGTGGCTTCAGTCTCGGAACTAAAGTTTATAGTCTGTCCACTCTCAACATTTCTAACCTATGACTCTCTTTTCTTTCTTTTGGATTTCCTCCCATTTTTTAAAATTAACTTTATATTTAAATTAATGTTGCCTCTAACACCAGGCATGTACTGAAATATATACATATAATAGCTCTTCATTTATTTCTGATGATTGTGTTAGGCCAAACAATTGTTCAGATACATATAGGCACTTAGTGACGTCATGCAGGACCAATAACATTTGACTCAGGATTTTTAGTTACCGTAGCAATATTGTTCACTGTCTTCAGAGGTGCTTTTCCAAATCTTTTCATTAGGGTCTTGTTAGATATCTTCCTTATTTCCATGTTCTGAAAGATTCTGTGTCCTCAATCACCTCCTTCCTGCCCCCACTTCCCCACTAATGTATTTGGAAATGACAGCTAGCTGTGTCCAGTGCTGTCTCAGAGAGTTGCCATTTCATAGTCATTAATGGTTGTTCATTGTATCATGATACTAGTAGTGTTATGTCTCTTCCCCTAGACCTTTGGAAATGCCAAGTCATGAAAGAAAACTTTTCAGTTATCAGACCACAAATAGTTGAAAAATTTATGCAGAGATTAATGGAGAATTACCAGGATGGTGGACTAGAGGTATGTATTAAAAAGTAGTCAGTCTGTACTGTGTGTGTTTTTTTAAACATAAATCCAAACAAGGAAGACTTTCCCCTAAACCAGTGATTTTCAACCACTGTGCCACAAGAATTTTTAAAACATGCAATACCTAACTCTTTAGTCAGGGGCACTGACCTCTTTTCTCTTAGATTGTCAAATTAAAAAATGACAACAGCCAACACAACAATAGCAGTCTGGTCTAAATGAATCAAAATTATATCTATTTTTTTGTCAGATTGGCAAAAAACATACTGTATTTTTGGTGTGCCACAGCATTTTAGTTTATGTGTGCCATAAGATGACAAAGTTTGAAAATTGTTCTATAAACACAACTCCTAATGCTTCCTTAGCTTCCTTAGGACAAAGATATGAATACTGAGCCTAAACTCAAAGTAGTAATCACTTTAATTTTGGAAAAAGACTGATTTCTAACAATGATGGGAGAGAAATTAGAATATGCATGCTGGATAATCAGATTTGGCCAATTTTTTAAAGTAACCTTTATTTATGAATGAGTTCTTTTTAGCAACATTTCCTATTATTGGTTTTTTAGTAAAGAATATTTAAAGAGAGAAACCAAAATAGCCTATAATACCACTTAAAAACATTTTTTTAAATGTACAACATGGGGCGGGGACTTAGCCCAGAAAGGTAACATTTTTATTGCTCCTCCATTCCACCATCCCATTTCCCCTCCACAAGGAAACCAGTGTCAAACACTTTTTCTGAGTATACATACTTGAATCCATAACAACTCTATATAGTATATGCAACACACATATACACAGTCCAAGGCACTTGACAGCAGTGCCTTCCTAAATCAAAGGAATCCACCAAAAAGTCAGGAGTATATGTGGATATTAAGCCTCAACAGAGCTTTTAGGATCATTAACAAATTAAACATACATGCATTAGGTTGACATGAATCCAGTTTCCTTTGAAATTCAACCATTTTTAAAAACCTGGCTTAGCAAAATGTACTCCATTGTTACATGACAATGTTTTCTCCGAAATTACATTTTTTAAGCTCTTCAAATGTTTTCCATAATTTATAATCACTTCAGTTCTTAATCATGAGGTAGAGCGTTCCCAAGCTTGGCTGGGGATACACTTTTCCTCAGAACTGGATGATTTACACAGATTTGCTTCAAGCTTTCAGTTATACCCAAGCGGGACACTGTCTGTTGTGATGAGGGCTGAGTGGTTCTTTCTGGGTCCCTTGTACCTTGGAGATTCTCAGCCAGAGGCACAGAGATGATTAGGGTGGGGCTCAGAAAAATTAGTCCCAAACAGTGTGGCTGCCCTGGCCGGTGTGGCTTAGTTGGTTGGGCATCGTCTTGTGAACCAAATGGTTGCCAGGCAGATTCTTAGGGCAAATGCTTGGGTTGTGGACTCGATCCCCAGTAGGGGACATGCAGGAGGTGGCCAATGGATGTCTTGCTCTCACATCGATGTTTCTGTCTCTCCTCCCTTCCTCTCTCTCTAAAAATCAATTTAAAAATCTTTTTTTTTTAAAATGTGTGGCTCTCCTTAAAAAGGAAGGAAATTCTGACACATGCTTCATCATGATAAACCTTGAAGACATTATGCTAAGTAAAATAAGCCAGTCACAAAAGCACAAATGCTGCATGATTCCACTTATATGAGGTATTGGAGAATAGTCAAATTCGTAGACAGGAAGTAGAAGGGTGGTAGTCAGCAGCTAGGGGGAGGAGGAAGAGGGAGTTAGTACAGTTTCTGTTTTGCAAGATGAAGTGTTCTAGGGATTGATTGCACAACAGTATGAATGTACTTAATATCACTCAACTGTCTACTTAAAAACAGCTAAAATGGCAAATTTTACGTTATGTGATGTGCTTTTTACCACAATAAGAAAAGAAAGGTTTGTGACTCAAGATCTGCTCATCCCCTATTCATATACTTCACCCCAACACTGAAGACAGGATCTCTAGGAAAGAACCGTTGGTACTTAGTAGGAGACGGAGCAAACCCATATCAGGCACAACGGAAACTCAGGGCCCACTGAAGAGACCGGTGTCTGCCTGCCGGTGTCTTGGAATAACAGGACCCCAGGATGCGAGGTCCCTGCAAAGCCTGTGCCTGGTGGGCTTCTGGCCTCTTCTGGATCATCTGCAGTGACCGGGACTCACTCTTCCAACTCCTCCCTCTCTCCCGATTCCTGGAAGCTCTTGTTCCAGGCAGCTCTTACTGAGCTGGATTTGGCCATCCCACCATCTCCACTATGGACCCTGGGACACCACACGTCATGATTCCGACGCCTCATGATATCTAATGAGCCTTAGATATCTGAGGGCAGGTAGGTCAGTCAGAGCAGCTCAGTGAGCACCATTGCTAACACGTGTGAAGCCTCCGTAAAGTTACAACCGGGGGCCTGCTCCAGGAGGACAAACCAGACAGGTGGTGGAGAAGAAGCCATCACCCCTTCCTCCTGAAGGTGGCTGCCCGGTGCCATGGCATATTGTTGTAAATGTTTCCCTCCACGTCCCGCGTGGTTCAGAGTTCAGGATCTGGAAGAGGAGCCACACACAAATGAAAGAGAAAAGACAAGAGATAATTTGGGAATATTGGGGGGCCAGGCGGTAAGTCCAACTCAAGAGGAAGGACTTCCACTGGTGCTCAGGCCGCACCAACCTTTTATAGTCAGAGGTAAACAAGGTAGTGGTTACCATAGTTACACAGTTCTTGTGAGTTTCACTTGTTTTGACCATAGTTATATTTCCTACACTTCCCTCAGCCCATTAGCTTCCCAGATAAGATCTAGGGAGTGTTATAAGGTCAAGCCTAATTATGCTAAGAGGCCTGCGCCCTCTAAGCTGGGACTTGTTTGTGACTTTGCCAGCAGGTCAGTCCGAGGCTTAACCCTATATCGGTTCCCACAGCATATGAACTGGAAAATGGAGCCGGTGCCAGGCCCCCCTCACCTGGTCTCTGTGAAGAGCCCCGACGACACAAGCACAGTACATGGAGGGCCTATGCCCAGCCTTCTCTGCTTCAGACTAACCCACTTCACTTCCTTCATCACTTTACATGAGCCCCCACCATCCTGATCAGTCTCCTCTAAACTCAAGGTTGTCTGTCCAGTGATGAGTGCCCTTGACCTGGGGTTGTGAGTGACTAATGCCCATGTGTGTCAGGTTGCGGCAGCCAATTCAAGGCTAACACGTCACCTGAAGCCCACGCATTGCCTGTAGGCATCCTGCAGCTGCCATGTGACTAGCTTTGTTCTTGTTCACTTTGAACCTTTTGAACTCTTTAAAAACCTGGATTTTTATCATCCAGGATACACCCTCTCCCTACCTGCCCTTGCTGTCCTCATTCAAGTCATTTAATAACAGTGTATGACAGGACGGGCCCCAAGCCCTGTGCTGCCCACTCTGGGTCCCCTCCAGGCTCACTAGGTTCTTTGGGCACAGTCTGTCAGCAGCCAGAACCCCATCCAGTTGTACTGTTCTCCATTTGCCCAAGCTTGTCAGAAGAAACCTTCTCAGATATCCTGCTAAAATTCAAATACACTGCCATCTACTCTGTTTCCTGAGGTTAATCTGATCTGACTTTTCTTGAACCCATGTTGGCTTCTAGTAATCTTTGCTTCCTTCTCCAGAATCTAAAACCCAGACTTTTACAATTAATTCTAACATCTTGCCCAAATTTTATACCAAACACCCTGGCCTGAAGTCAGAGACTAACCTTTATTGCAAATCAGAGCAACTATCATCTATTTTGTGGATTCCAGAACATTTCCATTTATATTCCAAGTCACTCATTCATTCAGCAAGTGTTTAGAGATATATTTTTTCCAGGCACTTTATTAGAGGTATAAAGGCAAAAGATACAGCCCCTGCCCCCAAAAAGCTTACTGAAACAGTTATGTGAACTGAATGTCAGCAATGTTGAGAAAGGCACTTCACATTAAGTACTTTGATAGAGGCAGACACAGAATGCTATATGAGTTCAGAGAAGGGGGCACAATCCTGCTAGAAGATGGGGGCAGAAAGCCATCAGGGAAGACTTCCTGGAGGAGGTGTTATTTGGGTCAAGTCTTGAAGAACAAGTAGGACTTAACAGATGAAGAAGGGTCAGGGAAAGAAGGCAGAGCAATCTAGGAAGGGAGTATAGTAGAACTCAGAGGTGGACATTGGAAAGGTGGGCAGGGCCAGATGCTGCCAGGGCTTGGTGTGCAATTCTTAGGAGTTTGGATATCATCCTAGAGTCGGTGGGAATTTACTGAAGCATTGTGTCAGCAGAGGTGGGTTTTAGAAACATCATCAAAACGCCTTGTGTTCCTGATGTTAGACAAACTGTCATGAGAGCCTCTCAGATGAAGAAAACCACAAAAGAGCAATTTGCTCCCAGCAGGTCCAGACTTTTGCCATAATGAGACCTGGCACCTGCCATGCTTCACCTCACACTGGCTCCAGAGAATCCCTGTGCAACCTCCCAAGCTATCAGTCAGTGCCATCATCGGGGGTCAGGGTTAAATGTTGGTGAAGGAGTCAGCTTACTAGAGGACTGAGCTAATGGTCCTCACTCTGGGATTCTTCTGGAACCAGCCTTGGAGGGGAAGTTGGCTGATGAAACCCCTTCCTACTGTATTTTGACACAGAGGTGACATTTAGTAACCTACAAAGGCAGCGGTGGGTTGCAAGCTTTTATATATATATAGTTTTTTTATTTCAGAGAGAAGAAGGGAGGGGGGAGAATGATAGAAACATCAATGAGAGAGAGAGAGAGAGAGAGAGAGAGAGAGAGGTCAGCTGCTTCCTGCAAGCCCCCTGCTGTGGATTGAGCCCGTTACCTGGTCATGTGCCCTGACCTGGAATGGAACTGTGACCTCCTGGTTCATGGGTCGACGCTCAACCACACCGGCCAGGCCAGAACAGCTTTTAAGAAACAAATTGTGGAAAACCTCGATGCTCCCTCTCCCTTGGCTGGCAGTGAGTAGGCCGCACAATGGCCAGAGTTACTGTAAAAGATGTGAACCAGCGGGAGTTCTCAGAGCTCTGGCAGCCTTCCTCCAAAAGTCCGGGAAGCTGATAGTCCCTGAGTGGGTGGGCACTGCCACGCTGGCCAAGCATAGAGAGCATGCTCCCTGCGACGAGAACAGGTTCCGCACACGAGCTGCTTCCATGGCGCAGCACCTGCACCTTCGGGGAGGCGCTGGGTTGGCTCCTTGACCAAGATCTATGGAGGCGGCAGAGAAATGGTGCCGTGCCCACCACTTTAGCAGAGACTCTAAGAGTGTGGCTTGCAGGGTCCCCCAAGCCCTGGTGGGGCTGAAAATGGTGGAAAAGGATCAGGATGGGGGCCACAAATGGACACCTCAGGGACAGAGAGATCTGGACAGAATCGCAGGGCAGGTGGAAGGAAGGAAGGAAGGAAGGAAGGAAGGAG